GACGTTATCGAGTTCTTGGGCCTCACCCATCGGCCTTGTCCGAAAGAAAGACGCTTCGATTAGATTTATCGTTCACTATCCGCGATTCCAGCGCTCTGATACGCCATCTAGTAGAAACATTAAAAAATCGGTATTTACGTTTGACAATATTACGTAGTTTGTGAAGCGTGTTGTGGTCGAAAAGTAATTAAACGTTTATTTTTTATTGTTGTGGGCATTATGTGTTCAGCCGTTTTAACCACTTGTAGGACAAATCTAAAGAAAATGTTTGTGATATCATGTAATCAAAAGTTAACTACGTTATATGCCAGGATTGCTTTCTCAAGTACTGAGGGGTAGGTAATACTTAATCTGCTCTTTTTTTTTTTTTTTTGAAATGTTTGGTCATGGTATTATTCATTGCATGTATTTTCTATAATACATATAGAATAATAATATTTCTATTACAAGTGTCTTTTTTCATTTTTAAGTGCTTTGCTTGTTGATATTCTCAAAATTGTATCTGATAATTAGTGCTATTATGTATATAATAGATATAAATACAATAGACGAATATAATAGATGAATATATTTTAGTATATAATGGTTCAATATCATTTTTATGGAAAAAAAAAAAGACACTTTTGACTGCACATATTTTCTGTAAATCCCACGTTAAACACATATGAAATCATTTGTTTACAATGAGTGAACGTTAAAATCAGCTAACTGTCGCAATACAATAAAACAGCGACACACTTTCCTACAACAGCCAGCAGTTCCTCCTTTACATGAACAAGATTTTTTTTTTCCTCACGGAAACGCCGACGCCCTATGTAGAAGACCCACCAATATTGTATCAAGGTCTAAGCCAAATACGAGCTGGTTAATCCACTAGCACGTCAAGTCACAACTTGAACATCGACTGATCGAAACCCATGGGGTGAGGAAATCAAGAAACACCAGTTGGAAGACGGCGGCATTGAACTCATAATTGATTTAATGGAAACTTCAAACAGAAAGCCTAGCATGACATTTTAACCAGTAGTCCTAAGATAAAACAAAGGCGGCTCTCTGGGACTCACTTCATTTGCAAAACGACATCTTGTACCGGAAGTTCGAATCGGATGATGGAATGGCAGCTGATAATTGCAAGATCACAGACGTCCTTAAGAGCTATACAGCAGCCCGACAGAAAACTGTTTCGGAAATAATGAAAACTTTCTTTAGAGTTCGAGAGCGCTTTTACTGGAGTAATGCAAGATGTGCGAATCTTGAGATGCCTATGTGGGTTGAGAGAGAAGTACCCAAGAAACACAGCAGAGGAAAGTTGCAACATTACAATATAGGAATGCATTTTGAACATATCGCTTTTGACAACCTGCGGCCCCTGCGACGAACCGCTGATGGCCAAAATACATCCTCGTTGTCATTAATCACTTCACTTAGTGGCTAGAAGCGTATCCTATTCCTGATCAAGAGGCTATCACGGTAGCAGAGGTAATAGATACGGCATTAGATTTCCAGGTTCGGAGTTCTCCACTTACATTTCGATCAAAGAAGAAATTTTTTTATGGCTGTAATTAAAGAACTCTGCAAGCTATTCGGCATCGACAGAACCCAAACGACACCTTTATATCCCCGTCAAATGACATGGTAGAGATGTTTAATCGAACCATCCTTAATAACCTCTCGCTGATGGTTTCCAGAAATCAACAAGAATGGGATCTGTTGATTTTTCCCGTTAAGTCCTATGTGATATATCTGACTTCGAATCGAAAATTTCTGAAGAACACAAAAACCTTGTCTAAAACTTAAAGGTTTTATTGAACTGGAACTTCAAAAATGATGAAAAACTTAACATCATAAACGAAAACTTAACATCTTAAGGTGGAAACATTCAAAATGCTTTAAATTATCAGCTATTCCGGCACGGTGAAGAACACTTTCTTTAAAAAGACAAAATCCATCTAGCCCTTTCGGCATATTTCTCCATTCGCTGGATTCAGACTTCAGCTCCTACGTGTTTTGGACTTAAACGGCCGGACTGGAACTGGAACAGGACCGAATCAGGACTGGAACCGAAACAAGACGGGAACCGGAACAGTCATCCCCTGGCTTCTACCCCGGGAAGGTCTACTCTGGCTCGAACTGAAAATGAACTGCGCCGCTACCAAGGAAAGCACCTCCTTTTATTGACGGCGGTTGCCGTTACTACAGGCAATTATGCAAAATATTTAACAGGATCAGAAGTTACCACTCTTTACTGGCCTATCGCAATGCTGTCCACGAGACTACCACTTCCCATCTCAGACGGTCTTCGGTCGGGACCTTCGTCTGCCTTGTGACCTCTTGTTTAGTCGCCCTCTTGATGTGACTTCTTCGTCTGAGGTGTACATATAAGATGTCTAGGCACGGTTTGAAGTTATGCAGTTTTGCACCAGAGCGAGTCGACTTGGCGACGGAGACGATGAAGATATGATACGACTAAAGAGCTATAGGACGTCAATTAAAGGAAGGTGACAAGATGTGGTTATAAAATCCGATTCTACGATATGGGCTTTCTCCTAAACTACAGTCACTTTGGGATAGTACTTTTCTGAACAGGCTTATTTACTTACTTACCACCAGCTGAGTTGCTGTATTGTATGTTAGATGACTATCAGAATTTGTACTCAGTCGTTGGAGCATTCTGTTTTCGCTAGCCCCAGCTAAAAACCTCTATAGAATATTAATATTTGTAGCGGAATTTATATAGTTGCTTCGGAAAATGGATATTTGTGACCAGCGGTTATTAAAGAGACCCTGTCAAGATTTTGGCTGTGCTGAATGAGGATTTTAGCACAGTTTAATGCATTGCGATTATGAGTTTACAGAGAACATTTACTCTAGAAGTGATCAGGCTGAACGACGCCAATGTTCAAATCCATACATCATTAGATTTTCTAAGCCTAAAGTTGTTCATTACGATAGGCTAGCCCCTTACTATGGCTATAGTACACAGTCCCCATAGAACAGTCTTAAACAGGCTGAGCGATGCCGCAGTTTTGATCTGTTAAGACATAAAATTCTATACATACATCTATTCATTCTATAAGAGTAGTTCATTATGATAGGTTAGCCCAGTGATGGCGAACCTGTGGCACGCAGAGCCTCATCACCTGGCATGCGACTAAAATATTACTTCCTTAATCAATAATCACAATAAAAAGATACTATGTAATTTAAATATGTGTTTTAGTCTGTTCTCGAACATTTCACTTACTTATCACATAATGTCGCTGGCATAGGGCCTAAGCCTACACATAAGATTTTCATATATCGCCATAGAAATGATATACATATTTACTGACCCAATTTATGATGTTTCAATTGTTTGGGTCAATCATATTACTTGTTACATGGCAAAAAATATGCCAAAGTTGAAGCAGCTAATGTTTGCTAAACGAATTCAAATTTATTGCAGACTGCTAGTGAATTTTAATCCTTTCATTGTTAAACAGATTTTCAATTTTCAGATCTAAGCATTTTGAAGTAACTTATGAATAATTCTAATTTAATATCTTAAACGGAATGTATAAATATAATGTAAAAACATGCAATTTGATAATATAAGCAAAACAAGAAAGCGTAGTAGGGAAACCAAGCTTATTTACATGTGCTCAGCCAAAATAAGGCCAATAAAGCCGAAAAGGAGCACACGAAATCTAAAGTTAGAAGTTTAGCAAAGAAATGTCCCCCGCGAACGGGCTGGCTGCATGGGTGTTTTCGTGGTCTTCCCCATGTGTAACGTGTATACGAGCCAGTTTCCCTTAGAAAGTCCTCCACGAAGGCATCCCTCCCCTTAGGCAGATAGCCCTAGTGTGCTTTGCCATAATTAAATACACCACACACCCAAAGAGATGTCCGGGTTAATGGTTAGTGTTATCTCCTGTTCATATTTGAAGCTGCGGCCGTAGATTGTTTATTCTTGAAAATTCAATTTCTTACTATTGGCTCATAATGTTACCTCATTCTAGTATATGATTGATTTATATTTAATGCTTCAATTTTAAATTTAGTGCTTTTCTATACTCCAGGTCTTGAACTCTCACAAATGACTCCAGCAAAAAAAGCAAAATTAAACATTTATAATGGAAGATCATTTCAAGAGATCTGGACATAATCATTTGGAATTATTGAACACAATAGGAAAGCATTATGCATTCTGTACGGGGAAAGTGTTGTGTGTCGCACATCTAGTGTCAGACGGCACTTTAACACCAACCACAAGATTGTTGCGGAACTTGATGAAGCTGAATGGAAGGTGTTTATTTAAGAGAAATTGATGAATCATAATTACCAGAAAGTTGGTTTTTGCAATTATCTTTCTCAAACCATCTAACAACAGCCAACTTTCAAATTTCACTGTGTACGGCAAAACATGGTAAGCCACTCTCCAATGGTGATTTAATCAAAGAGGTCATGTTGTGTGGGAGTAATTCTCTTTTTCATGACTTTCCAAATAAGAACAAAATTAAACAACGCATCGCTGATATGCTATTTAGCAGAAATACTGTTAATGATCGAGTCAGCGAATGGCAAGTGATGTTACTGCCTTTTGTAAGCAGCTCACCACTGACTTACAAAAGGCAGCCTGCTACTCAATGTGCTTGGATGAAAGCACAGATATAAACATGCAAAGCTAGCAATACTTTTGAGTTATGCTGTTGGGGATACACTGAGAGAACAGCTGATTAAATTGGCATCTTTGCCCGAAAGAACACAAGGAATAGATATTTAAAATGCTGTGATAGAAGCTTTATTGTAACAAGACCAGAAAAAGTAGTTTCAATTACTAGTGATGGTGCACCTTGCACGTTGGAAACAACATTTGGTCTCTTCTTCAACATTTAGTTACAGTTCTTTGTTAAAGAAGCAAAACATCCAGTTATTCAGTTTCATTGTCTCATTAACCAAGAAGCTCCTTGTGCCAAGACAGCTGCAAAATATTAGACGATGTTCTCAAAGATGTCACCAAAATGGTGAATTACATCATGTCTCAAGCACTTAATTGTCGACTGTTTCAAGCACTTTTTGATGAGGTTCAAACACAGTATGACACTTTGCTTATGCATAATAATGTCCGATGGTTGAGAAGAGGACGGGTTTTAGAGATATTTATAAGCTGCTTGGATGAAATTAGGCTATTTTTGAATGAAAAAGGGCAGGATTATCCACAGCTCACTGATATGGTCTGGCTTAATAATGTTATGTTTTTTACAGAATTTACACAAGACTTCAATATACTGAACAAGCAAATGCAAGGCTTGGGAAAAACGGCAGAAAGGATGTTTTGCGATATCAAAACATTTGAAAGAAGACTGCATGTTTTTGAAAGAGAACATGCAAGTAAGCAACTCAAATATTTTCCAAATCTAAAGATGTATGTAGAAAATTCTAGACAATTTGCATACAATCCTTCAAGTCATGAAGAAATCTACAAGGAATTTTCGAGCATTGTAGCAGCTGTAAAGGAGAATATTAATGACAGATTTCTACATCTCCGTCAGATGGAAACAACCATGTGTTTTCTTACTTCTCCAGATAAATCTAACTTTGAAGAACTTGATCTTTCTTGCTTCAATGGTTAGATCTTGAAATGGAGCTATTGGAATTTCAAGAAAACCCTACGTGGAAAAGAAAATTCTCTGATCTGCGTGCAACACTTGAGAAGATGGAGTGTAAAGAGATCACACAAGACAGCACAATCAATAGTTATGAAAATGAAATCCTTAAATTGTGGAATTCTCTGACAAATAAGTTTACATCAATGAAAACACTTGGGGATACTATTCTTACTTTGCTTGGATCATCTTATACGTGTGAACAGCTATTTTCAGCTTTGTACATCGAATGTGATACAAGAAACAGACTAACAGATAACCTGAGTGCTGCACTCAAACTAATGAAGTATGAACCAAGGTTTGACGAATTATCAGTATCATACTTGCCAACCTATGACACTCAAAAATCAGGAGATTCTTTTTAAGAAATCAGGAGATTTTTCACAATGTTAAAAAAACTTTTTAAATGATAAAAATGTAGTTTTTAATAATGAATTAACTTTAAATAGTTACTAATTCTTAAATGCAAGCAACACAAAAATACCTTACACATAAAAAAAAAAAATTTAGTACTTGCATCGTTTAAGGGGGGGAACCATACTTTAATCAGTTTTCGTACAAATGTTATGAACAGTGGCAGATTTTGCTTTCATTTAAAAAGAAATTTCATAATTTTGTTCATAGCAATTGCTATGTAGGCCTGCTTTAGCTAATAAAAGTTTTATTGATGTGTGATCACTAACATTAGATCTAAATTTAGTCTTCATTTTCGCAACAGCACTGAAAATCCTCTCACATTCTGCATTACTATGGGGGAACTATCAAGATGGCCAACATAATTCTAGACAGTTCAATATATTTTAAAATTCGATCAGAACCTTTCAGTTTTTCAATTAAACTCCACTGGACTGGTGACAGGTGCACCTTTTAACCACCTAGCTGATTTTATAACTTCATCCAGTTTTCTAATCGTAAACTACAAAATTGCGACTGCAATATTATCAATGGCAACATGAATATCATCATCTTTCATGACTAAATGAAGTAACACAGGAAATCTGTTCAAAAAGTACTTTATATCAGAAAAAGATGCATTTGCTAGAGCAGAAAAATCAGCAACTTTAGCATGCAAAATCACTTCATCGTTGACTGGAAATTTATGTAGTATGTAATCACATACTCGACAGAAGTAACTTCTAACATAAAGATAAAACTTATTTTTGTCTTCTGAAAGTTCTACTTTTGTAGTTGCAGCTCCTATTACCAAATCTTCATCTTTCTTCTGATTTTCTATTTCACTATAAATCACATCATATACAAAATTACAAGGCAAAACACAGACTGGTTTTACAAATTTTGATAAAATGTCTTTAAACAGATCATAAATCATTGATTGCAAAACATGAATTAATGGAATTCTGCTTTGTAGAACTGTGTTAAGAACATCGAATGATGGCAAAATGAATTGTAAAAAAAAAAAAAAAAAAAAAAAAAAAAAAAAAAAAAAAAAAAAAAAAGCAAAATGCTTTGTTATGGTCCGAAGAAAAAACATAAATATTCGTTCTTCACAAGACGAACATACAGTAATCGGAAAATGTTTCGTGTGTTGAGCAATTTTTTTATTTCGTGGAGAAACATTTGTATCAGCTTTACGCTTATATTTTGCGGTATTATTTTGAGAACAGCCAGTTGAATTGGTGAATGGTGGAGAAATTACTTTATTTTTCTCAAACCTATTTTTAACAATCGAAGCAGTAACTACATCTCCATTTACTTTAGGTATTTTATAACTTTAAATAGAGCCTTTTATTTTAAATCTCGAAGCATTTACTTCTTCTTTAAAAAATGCAAGAAGTGGGTTCCATTGATCGAGGATTCTAGATAAGCATTTCTTTAAAGACAGCCAGCATGTACACACGTTTCAAAATTTTTCTCATTTCAGTATTATGCAGCTGTTGGAACTGTTTCAATTTTTCCTTCCTTTTAGAAATCCTTTCAAGATAATAATAAATATCAACAATGTGTTTATCCACATTTATTGGTAAAGAAGCTACTCCTTTTTCAGCGGCTAAATTTAAGAGGTGACAGGTGCACCTTTCAATCTGCAAATCTGAATTTTCCTTTCTTTTAAGATGCCTGCAACACCAATCTTCAAGTCTACCATTACTGGTGCATTATCGGCATCAAGTGCTAAGCAATTATCCAGAGGGACTGCATTTTCCTTTAAAGTTTTCATAATTAGCTGTGCTATATTAAAGCCTGACGAATGTCCTTCTAAAGTGAGGACAGAAAGTAAACTGTACTCAATTTCTGAAGACTCTAGATTAAAAAAAGAAACAACAATTGGATACAGTTTTGAATCGGTATCACTACTTCCATCCGTAGAGAGGCAGAATGAAGCTGTTTTAATGCAATCAGTAACTGAAGATTTATTTTTCAAACCCATTTTTTTAACAATTGCACCTGTTTGGTCCTTGCACTTGAGTATTTCTTAGCGATTTCACCATCGGGAAACATTTTTCTAAATAAAGCTGCAGCGTGATCCAATGCATTCAGTGGCAGGTTGTGCTCCAGTAAAAAAGCAGAGAACAGACATTGTACATTCATAACTTTTTAGTCCTTTGTTTCCGAAGAAAAATTTAATTTTTCGTTTTTTTCAAAACTATTTATGTTGTCCTTGTGTACGCACATGTTTGAGAACATCCGCCCTTCCCTCATACGAAATCGAAAAATCGCAATGACAGACGGTACACACCGCAAATTTATTACATTTCCTTGAGGAAGTAATGGAAGGAAAGTCAAATGTGTACGATTTTTGAAACGTACATGAGTATTTCACCTTTCTCGCAAACATAACAAAAGATGATAATTTCTAAAACTATTTCCCGAAGGCACGTGTACTCACACAACTCAGGACAAGATGAATGAAATAACTAAAGAACATCCAAATAAAGCTTGCTTTGTGCTCATTGGCTAATATATACCAGATGACACGCAGTGGAGCTCGATGCCCATTGGAGAACGACGTTTCTTGATACGTATATGCTTTCACTCACAAAGCAGTTCTCATCTGATTCACAAGGTTTTGTTTTAGATATAATCTAGAGAAAATTCAATTGCTTTCAGACGTCCAAAATCACTTTATTTATTTATTTTTTTTATAACGAAGTATTAAGCCAAGTTCCATAAAAATCGTGAGAAATTTTAAGAATAAGAAAAAGTCGGGAGAAATATATTGTAAATCGGGTTGGCGGGAGAGCTGTCGAAAATCGGGAGTCTCCCGCCTAAATCGGGAGAGTTGGCAACTCTGCAGTATGTGCACTAGCCCCGTATCTAGCCATAGTAAATAGTTCCCATAGTGTATATAATGTAGATAGTACACTAAGACCATGGTCCTATTCGTAGATAAATTTGCAAATTTATGCATTTATTTATTTTGTTCTAGGCAATTCGTTGAAACTATTGCTTTAGTTGTCCATTAATTTTAATTAATTTAAGAATGGCTTTCTGTCCAGGAACTGTACTGCAAGGGACGTGCTGTTCAGGGAAAGAGGTCAGTGTTATGTATTTTGTATATATGTAAATAACTTCAGCAAGATTATATGTGAAATTGTAGTATTTTTTGCATAATATAACATGAAATGCTTGTAAAAGATGACAGACTGCTGGAAAAATAAGACTACACGGCAAGTTTATTTAACACTGGAATAAATGGCTATCTTGCAAAATTGGCAAGATATTGAGAAGTTGGCGATGGTTTTGGCGAATAATTTTTGTCACCAAGTTTGGCAGGAAATAGCCAAAAGTCGCCAAACTTAGCTACCATATGGTAACATTATGGTCTGGTCCATAATAATAAAAAACTTGCCATCTGATCTCTTAGCCCCACCCTGGTGGTGGCAGCTGCTAGATTGTAGATCTATCCACTGAGAGCAGGCACTATTCTGTTAGGTATAAACCTTAGCACAGAGACCTGCTCAGTGGTGATAAATAAAATAAATGGTCTGGTCTCTGAATAACTGTAACTGGTATATCGATTGAAAAAAATGTAACTCATCCGTCTATGTAACTGTAACCGTATGCAGCCTTTACATGTAACTTTAACTGTATATGCCTTCCAGTAATTTCAAGAAGTGGAAAATACTACAGATTTCTCGGCGGCAGTATGGGAAACTTTGTAAGAATAGAGAGAGCATTAGCTCTGTTATTTAGTTCAGTATGTATTCGGAGTATTGAGAAATCCCTGCAGGAGCCTTTGTTTTTTTAGATGCACTTTGCATAGCACTGTGTTTAACGTTCTTAGTAGTTTGAAGTATAACTACTGATTGTGCTCACTGATACTGAGTAGAGCTGTATGAGTGCTTTTGTGATAAATTCTAGAACTGTAATATGTTTCTTTTGGTAAAAATTAATTTTTCTAAGCCATTTTGCTATGGGTCCTGTGTTCATTCAGTCCATTACGAAACTATATGCATGCTACATTATTTTGTGCGTAAGTAATTAAAAACGTCTTAATTTCTTAACTTCATTATGAAACGTGATGCTTTTTGATTCTGATAAATTCTGTAGCCTGGGAGGAAAGTTAATTGAAATTATCTTTATCACAGCTATAGAAACTCATCAATCAATCCCGGTTCTTTTCATAGGCTTATTAATTTTCAATAAAAATTGTTTACATACAAACTCAATTATGCTTATTGTTGTGAATTTTGTAAATAATTTTAGTAAAATTTTCAGTAAAATCATAGTGTCTCTTATTAAATGAAGCATGAAATATCTTAATATACATTTAGCATAAAGTAAATGGCTTGGAAAGAAATAAAAAAAATGTGCCAAATTTGGCAACCATTTGGAGACATTTTTCTCCAATTTCTGTATAACTGTAATTGATAGGATTCCTATATGTAACTGTAACCACATCTATCTTTGTGTAACTGTAACTGATAATTCTACAATTATTGGAGAGGGCGCTGTGATCATGTACGATGGAGGCAGGATCTTGGAAGAGCTCCTGAATTTTCAAAGGT